CACCTCTCCTTCTCCCTTTTCAATTTTCTGTTGTAGCTCCCCACTTCTCTAGTGTTTTTGCGGTTAATGTTAACTCGTAAGTTTATTTTGTATTACTTTTTATTATGATTTGTGATTTTTATGATATTAGTTGAACTACTGTTTTTTTGCAGATGGCATTCCAAAAGTTCACGCTTGGGTTACGTTGGAATGGTTACATGGAAGGAAGAGACTGGAAAGGGGGTCACCCGTCGGTGGCAATTTTCAGAAAATAAAAGTTGCTACCAGACCGATGCTTGAAGACCTCTATCAAATGTGTACTAACGTTATTTGCATGGATGACATGAGAAGAGTTGATCGTATGGTGTACCGATATCCAAACAGAGAAGGCGGGTCGTTGTGGCACGAGGAATATCTCATAACCACTCAGGATGAAGTAGATGCCATGCTCGAATTCTTGAGGTCCAACAATCTTTCCAAAGCCGAGATGTTCGTTTACACCGAGTCTTTCGTAGGCGTTGGAGGTCATTCTGGAGACGGTCAAACATCTAGTATCCATGGTGGAGGTGAATTATATGGAGATCATCCCTACCAAAGTTACCATGATCCTCATTCCTATTTTCAGTACCAAGAGCAAGGTGAAGGTCATCATCAATCTTTCCCGTCATATGAAGAAGAAGTTCAACCGGACCATGCCAACCAACCCCAGTACAACTTCCAACCAGGTAGCGGTAGTTTTCACAACTACCATTATGGAGATGATGAAGGTACCTTTCATGAGCTGGATCAGATGGAAGATGCCCTGCCAGCACCAGTTAGTGACCCCTCCGATGAAAAAGGAGAGAACAACGTCAGTGTAGAAAGCTCCGACCCTCTTGAAGGTGCTGATGATTCAGGACCAGAGTCGGATTCAGATAATGATGATGAGGTGGCTCATGACCGTGTACCAGTCCCCTACTACAATCACATTCCAGACGGCAATTGGATGGTCGACAGCGACATGGAACCCCCTGAGGTTCCAGCATGGGGTCCCCTCACTGGGTTTATGAAGGGCCAACAATTTGGCTCAAAGAAGGAGGCGTGGCACGCCATTGATACTGAAGCAATGACTCAGCATTTTGAATGGCACACAACTCATTCCAATACGAAAAGGCTCATACTCAGATGTCGTAATCATAATGAGGGATGCAATGTTAAGATTCGGGCCATCAACAGCAAGAGACACGGCCATTGGGTCATATCCTGTGCGGTGAACACACAAACGTGTGTCATCGTTAACATCCCAAGGCCATCGACAGTTGAAATCCAGGGTGGTTGCTGCGGCTATCGAGCATCTAATTGAGCAAGATCCTGACCCGAAGGTGAAAGTTATAATCGCTGACATTGCAAGTCGTTATGGTTATATGATTGACTATAAGAAGGCGTGGCATGGAAAGCTTTCAAAGGCGTGGCATGGAAAGAAGAAAGCTATGGCCGCCGTATTTGGTGATTGGGAAGAATCATATGCATTCCTTCCCATGTTGATTTTGGCATTGGAGCCGTCTAACCCTGGCACTGTTTTCTCCCCTCGATACCAAGATGAAGAGATACAACCGCCAGAGCCAGGTAACAAACGCCATTTCAGACGACTTTTTTGGGTATTCAAGCCATCTATTGATGGTTTTGGCTTCTGTGTTCCTGTGATCCAAGTGGATGGTACATTCCTTACCGGCAAGTACAAGGGCACTCTACTGATTGCCAGTGGGGCGGATGCAAACAAACAAGTCTTTCCGTTAGCCTTCGCCATTGTTGAGGGAGAGAATACTGATAGCTATGGACGGTTTTTCGGGCAAATTCAGCTCTGCGTCACTAGGAGGACCAACCTGAAATACTCTCTGATCAGCATGCCGGGATTAGAGCTGACATCTTCGGTTTGGATCCAGCTTGGAATTGGTCCCAAAGGTGGTGCATACGACACTTCAAGAGCAACTGGAACCATCATTTCAAGCGGAAGAAGCTTGCTGATAATTCGTGGTGGATTGGTAAGCTCTCTATTGGTTGTTTAATTTTGTCAAATAACAATATCTTATATCAAATAAATGGTACACTTGTTAGACTCTTTGTAAAGAGATGCATGCCTAAGGAAATGAGGTTTTAAGCGATTATCATGGTCCTCCCATTTCCTGGGAAAATCGAGTTTTAAGCGATCCTCGGATCCCCCCTTTTTCTGTCAACCAGGCTCTGTTTCTAAGGAGATGTATACCTCTCCTAAGAGTCTAACGATAGTACCTGCTGGTTGTTCGATTTGTACTAAATTTCCGAATTAAGACTAACGTAATACTTGATTGTGATTACCTCAGCTGTTGCATACCAAGAGAAAAAATTCCAGGAGAAGTTGCAGAAGATGCGCGAGTTATGCCCTGAAGGGGCACAATGACTGGATGGACACGACCTATCCATGTGGACATTTCATAAAAACGGAGGTACAAGATGGGGTATTGCCACAACGAACTCAAGTCAGAGTATCAATCTGCCTACAAGGGTGTTTGGGCGCTGCCAATCTCTACCATTGTGGAGATGACTTCAGGAAAACGAATGGATGGTTCGTCAATCGACTACACTGGGCAAGGACGAACGAGGCACAGGGAAAGGTCCATTCCAATAAAGTCACATAAATACTGGAGCATGATAATCGCAAGAGTAGTCGACACAGTGTAACCATTATGAATCGGGCAACTGTCGAGTTTAGCGTGATGACCAGACACCGTGAGGATGGTAGACGCGCGGCCCATCGCCATGAAGTTTTGGTAAATTTCAGGAAAAAACTTGGTGAGTGCTCATGCCAGAAGTATCAGGGGAGAGGGTAGCCATGTTCTCATGCAATGGATGTAATTAAAAACAGGAGCAAAGACCCACGTCACTTCATCAGTCCATTCTTCAATATCGACTCACTCAAAAATTGCTATGGACGGAGTTTCCGTGCATTGCCTGATGAAGCTTATTGGCCGGTGTACTCAGGAAAGTTGAACATCCTGCCGTTCAGACAGAGGCGTGAACTGGGTCGACCGAGGAAAAAGAGAATTCAGAACGAAATGGATCAAAGTAGAAGACCACCACGAGGCCCAAGATGATGTTCAGTATGTAGAGTTTCAGGGCATGATAAACGAAGTTCTCCAGGTCCGAATGGTCCTCAAAATCCGGGTCCTGATGTGGGGGACTCAGCTAATGCGACATAGTTTGCGGTTATCATTTGTTGGTACTTGTTATGTATTTTTTCAATTATTGTCGGAGTTAGAGCGTTTAGATGCTTGGAATTTGCGTGTTTGGCAAATCACCCTCAATTATCACTCAAGTCTTAAGTTAACACGAAAAAAATAGAGAAAGCCAAGTACATAGAACTAAAAAAAAACCAAAACAACACTCAAGTACATATAATTAAAACATAACTAAAAACAACACTTAAAATGAAAAACTAAAAAGTACATCTCAAGGCAGTCCCTGGGACTCATGGGTCTGCAAGGTTTTCTTGCTCCTTGTACGACGACCGACGGGAGCAACCATCGGTGGTTGCGGTGGCAACACTCGATGGGCGGGAATTAGGCGCTCGTCGGTGCTGTGTCGACGTCGATCCGTGGTAGGCGGCGCTTCCGGCGTCGAGCGGGGGACATCCACGCTCATACAGTAAGGGGTAGGAGGCCACGACCGTTATGGGCGAGGAATATGATTGAAGTCGTGATGTCCGGTCGTGGAGGAACCATCATGCCAAGTACCTGAGGATGTGGGGGGAGGGGTCGTTGAAGAAGTTGGGGCGGGGATCTTGGGGGTAGATCGCTCGAGGATCATAGTACAGGGGGCGAGGATCATAGTAGATCGATCGGGGATCGTGGTATGAGATCGAGCGGGGATCGTGGTATGAGATCGAGCGGGGATCATATGGGGATTGATGGTAGCTCGAAGGGTATTGATGGTAGCTCGAGTGGGGATCGTAGTATGAGTTTGGATGGGGATCATGATGGTAGCTCAAGCGGGGATCTTGGGAGTGGCTTGGGCGGGGATCTTGGGAGTGGCTCAGGCGGGGATCTTGATGTGAGCTCAGACCGCCACCGTGTGGCACAACCAAGGGGGTAGGCGCTCTCTACGCCTCCAATGGCCTTATCTCGGCCACATAAGGTCTTTCCCGAACCTTCTTGCTTTTCTTTCTCTCGTATGGTGGGGGGGGGCATCAACTTGTACCGGAGGTGGCACCGGAGCGGGCATGAGCCAGTATCTACGATGATCACGACCCTATGCTCTGATACAGCCAAGCAGACTGTTTGTCATCCTCCTGATGAAGCTCACATCTTCACTGCCCATTTCATGTTTCCCATGGGTCAAATCTTTGATCCACTCGATCCCATCACCATAAATCCCATAAAAAAGGTTAGCAAGATAAGACTAATCATGTTTCTCCATGAAACAAGCAATAAATTTAATTGTTTAGACGAAATATACTTACCAATGCACCATCGGCCGCACCCTCCGGAGTCACGTACCGAACCGATGTTTGCCGATATCTATCCATGTATGGGTCATGATACCCCATTCGACCCACATTTGTTGGAGTGCAATCTCCTGAAGTTTTCGGTTCTCCCATATCGCGATCATTGCCGCCAACTTCGTGGGCCAATCGTGAGTACCTTGCCGACCATCTCGGTGGTGAAACGCCCTTTGACTCTCGGGGACCTCCAACGGAATGCACTGCTCCAGACCAAACTTACGGAGGCATCGATCTGGCAGGTGTCATTCCACGGTCCCGAAACAATTGAAAGGGACCCTCGTGCACCATTGTCCGATATGACCGGGGAATTGCTGTAAATGCCAATGAACGATGTTCGCCGGGTATGGATCGAATTTGATCTACCAAAAGAAATGAGTAACTTAAGTTAAACAAAATTGGAAAAATACATGTACTCCATGAAAAAAAGTTATATCACTTTGAAGTATTTCAGTTACCTCTCCTTCCCAAAGTCGCTCTAGCCTCCTCCGATAATCTACCAACTTGTGTTGGGCAAGGTTGTCGCATGTTGAGGCTCTAACCCACCTTATTAATAAGACAATAATAAAACTACAATAAGCTAAAACATAAGAAAAATTAAGTTATTAAAATCATGATGGGGTAAGAAAAGTTTACCTGCAACCATAAGCTTCGAGTCTTAGGGGATGATCGGGACCCCAATTGCTGTCGGGACATTTGAGCGGTGCAATCCATGGCAAATGCTCCCAAGCCCAAAATTGGGCGATGAACATTGCGCCGCCGACCTCCCTCACAGCTTTGAGAGATGCATTGCACAAATTGTGGTAGATATTAGCTAGCTAGGCAAGCGGATGCCCAGCTCAACTCCCCCATCTCATCCCAACTACCAAGGAGGATCCTAAGCCATCCACAGCTAATTAAATTTCTCGATTTTTTGGAGAAGAACACTCCTCCTATCATGCCTATGAGATAGACACGAGCATATCTTTCCTTCTCTAGCTCCGGACTTTCCTCGTTTAGGGGCACCCCATTTTTTTCAGGGTCGTGAAGGTCCCTAAAATACTTCGTCAACCAAGTGATTGATACTTGGTGTTTCCTCAATGGTGGCGAGCGATCCGTCGCATCAACGCTCCCCTTGATTGGTACTTTCACCCCCAAAACACTGTATATGAAATACTGCCAACCGGTCATACCGTCACAATCCTCGGGGGGATGATCATTCACACACACCGCTTTGCCGTCGATGGGCAGATGGGTTAGGATGGCGATGTCCTTGAGTGTGATGGTGCACTCTCCTTCGCGAAAGTTGAAACAATGTGTCTCCTTTCTCCATCTCTCCACCAATGCGGTGATGAGTTGGCGATCGACTTTTATGCCTACAAAATGCCTAATCGACTCCAACCGTGCCCTTTTGAGAAAGGGCAAGATAACTGGGTTCCATGGGAGCACATTGGTCGTACCCCTGTAGCGGAGTATTTGTTGTGCCTCCTAGCAAAAATTTCAACGTTATTTATGATATATTAGTAACAGTTTAGTCTTATAACTAAATTAATTCAAATTAATGATTTAATTTCGATCATAATTCTATTATTATTATATTATTAACAATCAAATTTAAGTAATTGATGGTTTTTTCCAAGATATATACATATTCTCATAAAATAAACATACTAAATTAATTGACATAAATAACATTATAAATGCATAATAATTTAAAAAGAGATACATACATATTCAAACATTTGAAATTAATAAAATTCATTTAAGTACACATAAACATAAATCGTATTGGTTGTTTTAAATAATTTAATCGAATACAATGCAACACTCGTTAGACTTTTAGAAGAGGTATACATCTTCTTAGAAACGAAGCCTTTTTGACAGAAAAGGGGGGATCCGAGGATGGAGCTGCTTGCTTGCTTGTCTTTTCGTCATAATGCACGATGGGTTTCGTATATTGATAACAAAAGGGGACGCGACTGAAGTGATACGGCTCTTTGCCCTCGCCTGGGACGTCGCGGGCTCGAGTTCCACCGACGCCAGATTTCGAACCCTAACCATCTTTTTGTTGAATTGACTCATTATTCCGTTCTTATTGGATAGAATATCCCGAAACATAACTCAAACACAAAACCAAGCATAAAATCGGGAAATCGAATGAACTTCGTACAATTTAGGTCATCTTAGGATGTAAAAGTGTAGGTGAATATATGTATAATTTAGGTGTTATCAAATTCCCCCACACTTACTCCTTTGCTTGCCCTCAAGCAAAACATGAAAAAACTTAAAAACCAATTTCACACAAACTCCAACCGGAAGTTAGAAAACAATGAATCTCATATGAATGCTAAAGATAGTGCAATAGGTAGCGAGTTATGGATGTGTTCAACCACCACAAACAACATTCGATCGTAATACTCCTGTGACATTGGCAACTCTGACTCAGATTTAAAAGAACATTCTTCTATCTTTATTAGTTATTCAGCACAATCAATTGTTCAAGCATAAGGTTCACAAAACATAGCGTGAGAGACCGAGCAAATAAATCTTACTTGGGATTTTAGAATTTGGAAAGTCTCTCTCACTCGACCAGTGGGGTCAGGGTAAATGCATGTAGCATGTAATTTTCACTCTTTCCCTACCATCTCTCTGCCATGAGCTTATTGTTCGAGTCTCCAAAGTTGTGTCACCACTGACTTGTCAGGTAGGTCTTTGATCGGGTGTCAAATGTGGCTAGGGGTACGGACATGTGGAAGTACTTTTAATCTGGTGGTAATTTCAAGGTTCCAAAATTTCTTTTCTTTTTTTCGCACCGAAAATCATGACTTCTCTGCTTATCTTTGTAAGATAAAAATATAGACAAGGGAGAAGATTTTGAGGATTAATAGGAGTTTCAAATGTAGCCAATGTGGCTTTTGAAGAATGACTCCTGTTTATCATAAGTGCATGAAAGATGGTGGCCAATTGATCACTTTTCTTCTTCTTCTTCTTCTTCTTCTTCTTCTTCTTTTCTTTGTTATTTTTTTTTTCGAGTGGCCAACAATTCCATTTTTGAAAAATGCACTTGCAGAAATCGTTTCTCCGTATCTCAACTTTTGTATTTAATAATGCAGTAAGTCATTTGTTTAAACCATTCACACAGAACCTTGAAAAGGGTTCAAAATGAATTGAGGCTTGAAGAACAGGGATTGGTTTAAAACATGTTGTCACCAAACAAAAAGGCTCGTCTCAATGGGGTTTAACTAAGGGATATGATGTTCAGGGTCGTCATTTTGGTTGTAGGGGTAAAACCTATTGCCTCCGTCATCCTTATCAGTGGTGTCACGACTCAAACATGTATAAATTAAGCATATCATCATGCACAGAGAGGGATCTAACACACAAGAAAGAAACGATCATGCTCAAGTCTCATGTGGTTTACTATATGCTCAGTTTCCCATGCTATGCTTCCCAAACATTATGCAACAACAATCAAAGATGATAAATTTATTTTTCAAGATTTCAGATAGTTCTTGCCATCAAAGAATGAGTAGCACGAGAAACATTTGTTTTAATCCCTCAGTCGTCATTATAGGTTGACATGCATCCAATTCGCACTATTCTTGTACCAATTTTAGACAAAGATGAGACTCAAAACAAAACACTCTTTTTAGTATTTATTTGAATTTTTTTTTTAATTTTGTTTATGGATGATGAGATTATTGAAAACACAAATCACAATGATTCTTTGTCAAAACGCATGAAAACGAACGAATATACCCCCACACTTGAATTGGACATTGTTCTCAATGGACGAAAATATAGGGAGTAAGGATTCAAACTGTTACCATTTTCCTTGTCATGTGATGTAGTGGCATGATGCACGGTGATTGTGGTTCCACTTGGCGAGTTCTATAGTCGATGTTTCATTACGGGTTTTATTCTTGAAATTGAAAAACTCAAAGAAATATAAAATTAAAGAAAGGGAAGGAAAATGCAAACCGGCATTGGGTTGCCTCTCAATAAGGCTTCTTTAACGTCGTATTAGCTGGACTGTAGTGTACTTTGTCAAGGTATCTGAAGATGAAGTGCCTCGGGATTCAGGTCGAAATTGCCACCGAGGTATAGTTTCAGACGATGACCGTTGACTTTGAAAGTTCCCCTCTCGGGATGTGAAATTTCAGCAACGCCGTAGGGAAATACTTGTGTGATCACATAAGGACCAGTCCATCTGGACTTGAGCTTCCCAGGAAACAAACGAAGACGAGAGTCGTATAGCAAGACTTGATCTCCAACGTGGAAGTTTTTGTCTTGCTTTATCTTGGAATCGTGGAGTCGTTTCATTCGTTCCTTGTATAACTTGGCATTTTCATAGGCTTGTAGGCGCATTTCGTCAAGCTCATTGATTTGGGCCTGACGATGGTCCTTGGTAGCATCTCCGTCGAGGTTGAGGTATTTGAGTGCACAGTAAGCTTTTTGTTCCAACTCGACGGGGAGGTGACAGGCTTTGCCATACACCAACCGATATGGTGAGGTCCCGATTGGTGTTTTGTATGTCGTACGGTAAGCCCATAGTGCAGTGTCGAGCTTTGTTGCCGAGTCCTTTCTTGATTGACTGACTGTTTTCTCCAATATCCTTTTGAGCTCACGGTTGGTGACCTCAACCTGACCACTAGTTTGAGGATGGTACGCGGTGGAGACCTGGTGAGTTACACCAAATCGTTGGAGAACTTTGTCGAATTGACCTTGGAAGTGAGTTCCTTGGTCGCTGATCATTGCTCGCGGTGATCCAAACCTAGAAAACAGTTTCTGCAAAAACTTTCCAACACTTCGAGAGTCATTAGTTGAAAAGGCTTGTGCCTCGGCCCACTTGGATACATAATCCACTGCAACGAGTATGTATTTTTTCCCGAATGAGGTCGGGAAAGGTCCCATGAAGTCAATTCCCCAAATATCAAATATTTCTCAAACAATGGACATTGTTTGTGGCATTTCATCACGTTGGGAAATATTACCTGACCGTTGACACGCATCGTAGGTGCGTACATATGCATCACAATCTTTGAAGATTGTTGTCCATTGTTTGTGGCATTTCATCACGTTGGGAAATATTACCTGACCGTTGACACGCATCATAGGTGCGTACATATGCATCACAATCTTTGAAGATTGTTGGCCAATAAAATCCACATTCCAATACCTTTCGCACTGTACGGTTGGCTCCGTGGTGTCCTCCTGTCGGACCTTGGTGGCAATGAGAAATTATGCTCCATGCTTCGGGTTGCGGGATGCATCGGCGAATGATACAATCTCCACACACTTTAAACATATATGGCTCTTCCCAAAAATAAGATTTAAGGTCAGAAAATAATTTCTTCTTTTGCTGGTAAGAGAGCCCTGTTGGTAGAGTCTTTCCCACCAAGTAATTGGCAAATCCGCATACCACGGGGTGTCAAGCTCAACTCTTCCTACTGTGTAGAGTCGTTCATCCGGAAATGTTTCATTGATTTCATCCGAAACATCATCTTTTGGATTTCGATGTTGAATTTTTTGTGCCTTTTTTATCTCGAATTTCGATGTCGAATTCTTGGAGAAGAAGATTCCGTCGAATCAGACGAGGTTTGGCGTCTGTCTTGTTCATTAAATACTTCAAAGCAGAGTGATCAGTAAAAAAATGCATCGTGATAAAACTAAGTATGATCGGAACTTATCAAATGCAAACACCACAGCTAGTATTCCTTTTCAGTTGTTGTGTAATTTTCTTGAGCGTCATTTAAGGTTTTACTTGCATAGGAAATTGGTTTGAAATATTTGTCATACCTTTGGCCGAGGACAGCTCCTACGGCATAGTCAGATGAGTCACACATGAGTTCAAACGGGAGGCTCCAGTCGAGACCCACCATAATCGGGGCGTGGGTCAGTTTGTGCTTTAGTGCCTCAAATGCGTCGTTGCATTACGCCGTAAAGTCAAATGGAGCATCCTTCTCGAGAAGCTTTTTCAATGGTCGAGAAATTTTGGAGAAGTCTTTGATGAAGCGTCGATAGAATCGGGCATGCCCAAGAAAACTCCTTATTGCTTTCACATTAACTGGTGGTGGAAGGTTTGAGATGACGTCAATTTTGGCTCGATCAACCTCGATGCCTTGTGATGAAATTTTTTGTCCAAGGACAATGCTCTCGGTCACCATAAAGTGGCATTTCTCCCAATTGAG